GCCGCGCTGTCAGAATTACTGTCTTTTGAATGAGAGGTTAAAGTGAGACCCTCTCTGCTTTTTAGATGGCTGAAGAAAATCCCACGTCTATTTTGAACAATAGCACAAGTGTCATAGAATCATAGAATCCCTACAGCATGGAAACAGGCCCTTCGGCACAACAAGTCCACACCGACCCACACAGCATCCTACCCAGACCAATCCCTGAACACTATGGGCAATTTAGCGTGGCCAATCCACCTAACCTGCACATCTTTGGACCGTGGGAGGAAACCGGAGCACTCGGAGGAAACTCACGCAGACACGGGGAGAATGTGCAAACTCCACACAGACAGGCATCCGAGGGTGGAATTGAACCCGGGTCCCTGGCGCTGGTGTTCTGGCCAATATTTATTCCTCATTCAATATCAAGAATCAGATTATCTGTTAGTCGGACCATACTGGTCCTTCTGCTTTATAACTGCGACTACACTGACAAAGTACTTCATTATTTATCAAGTTGCAATGTTCTGGCTTCTAAAAGGCATCATAAAAATGCACATTTTGTTTCTCTCTTCCTGAAGAATACAGACATCTCTTTATCATCACTGGGTCAATATCCCTGGACTCCCTCCCTATTGAACATTGTGGGTGTCTCTCTGGCACATGGACTACAGTGGTTCAAGAAGGCAGTTTAGCACCATCTTCTCAAGGGCAACTGATGCAGCATTTTTGGAAGGTGTTGGCGACCAAATCTGTGAGCAAGGCTAATTTCCAATGCAATTCCTGAAGAAACTTCTAATGGGAATCACTGCAGCACTGGGACAATGGAAACCAGAATTACAGGAAGGCAGGAGTCTGTGGGTGGCAGGAATCTGAATTCTCCTGATAAACCGCGAGTAAGACAAGGACAGAATCCTCAGGTGAATATTGTCCGCAGGGAAGAAAAATGAATTTGTAAGAACTCATTCCCACTTCCACACAAGCGTAAAATGTCACTTGTGTAATCAGCTCGGAAAGTGTTAAGCACAAGATGTTCCAGTATATTATGACAAAGGCAGCACTCACTAAAAGTGCACAAAAAATAACATTAAAAAAAAGATGGCCAGGAAACAATTCAGAGTTTTAAATGGGGAAGCTGGGTTTGGGTGTGAAGAGCGTTCTTGACGTGCATTTCTACAGCGCCTCACACATCCCTCAGGGCATTCCAAAATGCTTTACAGCCAATGAAATATATTTTGTACATTGTAATGCAGGGCAATGTGGAAGTAGATTTGTGCACAGCAAGATCCCGGAAATAGAAATGTGATTGTGACCAAATAATCTTGTTTTCTCTGAGGGATAAATATTGGCCAGAATACTGGAGGGATCTTCCTTGCTCACCTTCATACAGTGACGTGGAACATCCACCCGAGGGGGCAAATAGTCGAAAGGCTCATTTGAAAACTGGCACCTCCGACAGTGCAGCCCTCCCATGGCAGTGCCCTGCCAGCGTCTGGGTAAGTCGTGTGCTCGAGCTTCTGGAGTGGACTTGACCTCATGACCTTCTGAGCTCCCACTGAACAGTGGCCCACACCTGGGTCACTGAGTCAATATGCCTCCCTCCCCCTGCCCTATCCACCATTCAACATGAGTGTCCTAGGCCAGTAGGCTCTTACCGGAATCTTTGCCGTGGTGATTGTTTCTCCTCTGAACTCCAAAAGTGGCCGGCATAGTATAACGGGAAGAAGAGAATGTTCCAGACGGTGGCAAACCAGGTCACAGCAAAGGGGGCGTCAAAGGTCCTGAAGGTGATTTGAGCAAGCTGGTTGTTGCCTGCCCAGGATGAGCAGACACTGAGGACCACCGCTGAGCCCCACAGGGCCTTCTTCAGTTGCCTGACAGAGCAGTGCCGCTGCTGGCAACAAGCTGGTCCTGTTCTACGCCTCAGACGCCGCCCTCCTCCTCCTCTGGGCTCTGCCCGTGTATCCGCTTCTGTCTGGGATGCCCTCGCGCCAACTCTGCTCCCACTTGCTTCTGCCGGGCACTCATCTCCTGTGGGATGGAGGGGTCAAGGGTCAGCACAATCCCTCGCGTCTGGCCGTGCTCATCTTGAGCTGGCACCTCATTCCCTCAGAACTCACTGCCTGAGCTTGTTGCGGCTGGAGCAAGCTATTCCCCAAGATTCAGGATCAGTGCCTGGTTGTTAGTGGGTAACATTCTTGCCCCCCCACTATCCCCACCTTGGAGTTGTGGGTTTGAGCCCCATGCGGGAGGGGCTTGGGCACATAATCCAGGTCAAGTCTCCCAGTGCAATGCTGAGGGAGTGCTGCACTGTCACAGTAGCCATCGTCTAGATATGACCTTATTCTGAGGCTGTATCTGCCCGCTCGGGTGGATTGTACCACTGGGAGGAATGCTGGGATGTTCTCCTCAGTGTTCCAGCCAAAATCAAGCTTTCAAACAACATCGGAAAACAATCCAGCTAGCCATTAACAAACATGCTGTGTGTGGGAGCTTGTTGTGTGCAAATTGGCTGCCTCCTTTCCTCCATTACAACAGGGTCTGCACGTCAAACATTCTTCTGGAAAATGCCTTTGGGACACTGTGAAAGTGAGAAATGCTGCAATATAAATGCATGAAATTTCCTTAACCCAGTGTGGGGGTTTTATAAAGCACGTCATCCACAAGAATTATTCATTCAGACTCTAATTTCACGTCAGCCATTATATTATTGAATGGTGGGGCAGGCTTGAGGGACTGAATGGCCTACTCATGCTAGTCATTCTTATGATCTTATAAATCCAGAATGTCAACGCCCATAGAGATAACACCCACAGGGATAACAGAACTGAGGGACAAAAGGAAGATTCTATAAAGAAAAACATGTGGGGATAGAAGAGGAGCTGATATTGTCACGGAGCCAGGGTCTGGGATAGAGTGAGATGTCAAGTGTGACAGAGTCTGGGTGAACGTGGCCTGACCCCTACACATGCTCCTCTCATTGTTTCAAGTCTAATGTGACATATGGGTATTGGCCATGAGGGGCAAGACAGCAGGAGATTGTTCACAATCCATCCACGGACAACCGCAATCAGAACTTCAGCCCATGACTACTCCATCGAGGTGAGGAACAGCCCTTCAAACACCCGCTCAGAAACTACAGGCAACTTTCAGAATGCAGTCGACACGGTACCCCACGGCCATGGTGCTGAGGGGCCGGAGACACACGGGTCGCTCAGGGCAGCTGGGTCTTGGACAGCCCGTGACTTGGCAGCATCTCTGAACCACGGTCAACGTTATAGTGTCTGAAATGCAGCAGCCATGTCATGCACAGCAAGATCCCACAGGCAGCCTGAAGCTAAACAGGACCAAGGTTATTTTCGGAATGATGATGGCTGATGGATAAAGATTGGCCAGGTCCCTGGGGAGAGTGCCCATTGATCTGATGCCAGTGGTGCCCTGGAGTCAGGCGAAGTGGGTCTCGGTTTAACAGCTCACCTGGAACACAGGAGGGCAGCACTCCATCAGGGATACAACCAGGAGTTTCAGTCAGAGCTATTGGAACAATCCTGATTGGAGGAGAGAGACAGCCCACGCACATCTGACCAAGGTCTTGATGCGACTCACATTCCCCACCACCCCACCCCGCGCACCACCCCCCCCCCCCCAACACCATATTGACTGGACACAAGCAGCTTTGGCTGTTTCTATATTGTCAGGCATCCCGTCTCCCATTCATGTCACACAGCCAGCGAGGCTCAGGAAGTTAGCAACCTGGGAGAGCTGGTGTCTGTGTGAGTTCCCCAGGCCCCCCTCAGGGGGTGGGGAAGTGGGGAGGGGTGCACAGTGTCTGTGTGAGTTCCCCAGGCTCCCCTCAGGGGGCACAGTGCCTGTATGAGTTCCCCAGGCCCCCCTCAGGAGGTGGGGAAGTGGGGGGGGGGGTGCACAGTGTCTGTGTGAGTTCCCCAAGCCCCCCTCAGGGCCCTCAGTGCCTGTGAGAGTTCCCCAGGCCCCCCTCAGGGGGCACAGTGTCTGTGTGAGTTCCCCAAGCCCCCCTCAGGGCCCTCAGTGCCTGTGTGAGTTCCCCAGGCCCCCCTCAGGGGGCACAGTGTCTGTGTGAATTCCCCAAGCCCCCCTCAGGGCCCTCAGTGCCTGTGTGAGTACCCCATGCCCCCCTCAGGGACACAGTGCCTGTGTG